GCACTAAGGGTTCGGAAGATGCAGAGAATGGTTATCAGAATCATTTCTAGTTTAATACATCCTCCTTATTGAGATAAGCTAGAACAGCTGGGACTCTACACCTTAAGAAAGCACTGACCTAGGGTGACCCATTCGGATTCATTTAACAATGAAAGAAATCAATTACATTCTTACTGACAGCTTGTTCCAATAAATAGGTTCGGCAAGATGTCAGTTCTCATTTATAAATTTTAAGCCAGCTCAAGAAATTAGTTTAATTTCAGAGGGTTGTGGACTTCTGCAACAGGTTCGCACATGGTCTCTGATTCGTGAATCCCTTCTAGCAAGAGCTGAGCTTGTTTCTGACTGAGCCAGACATTGCAGGTACAAAAAGTTAGATACGACATGAAATTATTTAGTCAGAGTGATCTTCTTGACTAATTTCACTCACTTAGAAGGAATTCTCGGAATATTGGCTTGAAGTTTTCTCTGGTTTCCACCATGCCCAAGAAATTTCATTGTTTTTGAGTGAAGAGTGTATTTATTGTGTTATACAAGGCGTCACAATTATTCAAGACAGGCTGTATGCACCAAGGGGTCTTTGTTTGTTTGTCACTGCTCATATATTTGGCTGCAGCCTTCAATAATCCCTTAAAGCCACTTGAAGTTCAGACCAATGGGGCCGATTGTATCCTGCACTCATTCCCATTAACATCAAAAATGCCATTGAGCTGTATGACGAACACAGGACCCTGATATAAATGTTAAAATAATGTGGAGAACTAGATCCCTATTTTGTGGCCTGCCTGAAAATTGCATCACATGGACCTTGGACAGAAATGAATAAACTAAATTATCTCTGAAGAACTGCCATTCAACTTGAATGAGACGAGTGACAGATGAAATTCAGCCCCTTATTCAGATTGCCTGGGTGCGGTGTGATTTATGAATCACAAGAAAAACTACCATACAAGTTAAGTAGATAATAGAGGAGGCAAATGGAATGTTGGTTTTATTTTCAAGGCACTAGACTATTAAAATAGGGAGGTCTTCACAAAAGTATACAAGGCATTAGTGAGATCGCAGCTGGAATACTGTGAAAAGATTTGGGCCTCTTATCTAAGCAAAGAAGTATTGGCATTGAAGGCAGTCCAGGGAGGGTATGGAGGTATTTTCTGATGAGGAGAAGTTGAATGAGTTGGATTTGCACTCATTGAAGTTTTGAAAAACAAGAGGTGAACTTATTGAAATATATAAGATTCTGAGAGGTGTTGACAGTGTGGATGTAGAGAAATCAATTCCCCTTGTGGAAAAATCTACAAGCAGATGGCATAATCTTAGAGTAAGCAGTCACCCAGTTAGGACAGAGATGAGGAGGAATTTCTGGAGGGCAGTGAATCTTTACCACAGAGTACAATAGAGGCTGGATCATTAAGTAAATTACAATGCTGAGAACAGACAGATTTTTAATCATAAGGGAATCAAGGGCTATGGGGGAAAGACAAGAAAATGGAGTTCAGGATTATTGTGATAATCTAATGAGCCATAATCTCATTGAAAGTGGAGCTCAGTTGATGGGCTGACTCACCTTACGTCGCCTGGTCTTATTGATTTATCATGCAGCTATATTGATGTAGCATTTGAGATAGTAGGAACTGCAGATGCTGAAGAATCTGAGATAACAAGGTGTGGAGCTGGATGAACAGAGCAGACCAAGCAGCATCATAGGAGCAGGAAGGCTGACGTTTC